GACCAAAATTTAAAAAACGTGAACATCACACAGATTAATATGTACCCCTAAGTCTCTGGAACGGAATACATGCACCAGTGAACCTACAACTACACGATTTATATTTTAAAAATAATTAAATTCACTTAGCATTGAAAACTTGCGAATTTTGAAAAAAACAAATTTACTGATTAAATATGGACAACTGTTTAACTGAAGTAAAACGGGTTTTCCCCTTGCTATGGATGTCTGCCTAGTTCGGTTCAGCCACATTCCGCTACAGTTCGCCTTTATTATCAGTTCGAAATGGGATGGTTCCATAATAACTGCAGTGTTCCATAATACCACCTTCTCCTCTATAGTATATTAGTATATCGCTATTAACCTACTTCGCGTTGAATTTTCATTAATGTTAAGCCTAACAAAATTTTTTAAAAACGATAATCGTTACTATTTTACCGTTAAAAATTAAAAAATTAAGCCTCGTTTAAATTCTGGCTTATTTTCATGGTCGTGCCAGTGTTGCCAGCTAAAACACGTAAAAATAATATTAAAGTAGCCAAGACATAGCCAAATATTGTAGCGCCACATCACTATCGGACATTTGAATCTGCCGACTAGAACGCGGTCGATTAACCGATGTGACGGTTGATCGGGTGTCGGATAATCGATGCTCTACTGTACTTGATAATCTAAAAGAACACAAACGGAAATTATAGTNTCTTCTAATAATAATAATTTTAAAGGAGTTGATAAGTAATAGTAAGAAAGAAAGCGGTGCTTCCAGGACTACATTCAAAATGTGGCAGTGCCGCAAGAAGCAGAAAGGCAGCAAGAAAAATAAAGCTGTAAAGGTGAGATTGTAGTCAGTGATGGTACTTCAAAGGGCCGAGCAGATTGTCGATCTAGCCTTCATGTCGTGCCCAGTAAAGGCTGATTGTATGACCTGAGAGGTGGGAGTGGTGGCCGATAAAATGGCGACCAGAAAAAGTATGCGGGCAATGCGTAGGCAGGTAAGCGTACTAAAAGATGCAGCTTAAGATGATGTTCCTTTTGGAAGAATGGTGACCCCCTGTGTTCTCCTTCCATTCCCCGACGAAGAGTGTCCATCCACAACTGGAAATATGGACGAGAGGACTTTGAGGGCAACCAGCGAAATTGTTTCCAATAATGGCGAAGACGAGACATCATGTATGGACCCAGGACGAATAATCGCTTCAGCAAATGATGAAAAGAATTCTTCCCAATAGAGCTGAGAAAGAGTTTCCGATTGCAAAAAAGCGCTCATATGCACAGGAAGCAGGTGGTACTCCAAAGTTGAAGTGGTGCCTTTATGGGAACACGTTTTCCTCGTGTATCCGAAGAACGAAAAAAAGTTTAGTAATGCAGCTTGGGACCACATCAAAAAAGACATCAACCTTGCCAAATTAAAGGTAAGTGTGAAGAATGTCCACTGGGTTAGGAGGTACGGTGTCCTGATTGACGTTGCATTCCATAAGGAAGTTGAAGTACTCTTAAAATAGTTAATCAAAAGAAAGTTGCTGAATGAGTCAGTAGTCTTCGGCTGCCAAAGAAGCGCTGTTTCAAAGTAATTATTTACGATGTCCAAGAGGATATCAGTGAAGATAGATTGGCAGAGATCATCTCTGTCCAAAACGATTTAAGCATACAGGCTGATGATCTGAAGTAGTAAAAGTTTATTACTTTCGCAAGAGTGTGTCATGTGAGCTGCCACCCACTCCCTACCATTAATGACAACAACGTTCTTAGAGTTTTATTACTCTGTAAATAAAAACTTCCTTTCCCTGTGAAAAGTGGGTGAGATGTCAACGTTATTGTTTAACTATATTGAAAAGAATGTTGTTCTTGATATTTAAGAATTAGTTTTGACAGAACTGTTTACATTTAATTTAACAAAATGCCGTTTATCTTAATTAATATCTTTTTTATAATTTATTTCTGCCTTGTTTATAACTTGTTTTCAATATATTTTAAATCGATTTGTTTTAAAATATAGGCATACTTGTATAAAGTTTATGAATTAAAGTGTAAAAATTGTAATGAAAATTTCGTTGTTCAAAGAAATAACTATTGATTATATAGAATTCAACTTTGTAAAAATGCTTTTATATCTCTACCTATTCGTCATTATGTATGTATATAATATTTCCATTTTATAAACAGATCTCATTAAAGTATTAAACACAATCTGACGATGTTTTGAAACAAAATGGGACAGAATGATGATAATTATTTTACAGGTCAGAATTAAGAGCTATATATCGAATTATCTCTATCAACTACTTTCAGGTTCCGAGTAGACTCGAGGAACATAAGATTTGTAATGTTCACGAATGTCAAACCAAGTAATGAAACTTTCACTCTTAGATTTCGGTCGTTGAATATCGAAAATTGTCCTTTTTCTAGAACTGATCTAGTCTTGCGTTATCTGGGTATAAAAAGGAAGTCAATTAGAGAGTAACGATAGTAAATTGAGACTCATACGAATGGTTAATTCGGTGACTTACTCTTTAAGATTTCAATCGTTTTTAATAAGTTACCGGGTTAAACTATATAAATGAGACGTCTCAGTTTTTTCCACACCTACGTTTCTCTCCTCATCACTTTTCCCTTCTGAGTTTGATTTCCCTCTCGTTGTCACTTATGTCATCTTTCTCCCAGTAACACAGTCAATATATAAAATTTACAATAAATAATGTTTGAAAACGCTTTTTTCTGACATGTTGCATTTAAAGTTATTATAAAATGTTTTGTGTCATCTTTAAAAATACATAGCACAGCAAATGGTAATATTTGAAAATAAGTAAACATTAATTTATTTAATTATTATATTAAAATTATTATATTAAAATTTTATAAAGAAGTTACGTTACAGGAAAATTATGT